GATTTCGGAGATAAAGCAGACGCTGTGATGGGTTCATGCTTAATGTTTAAATTTCAAAAATATTTTTGGTACATTTTGATAAAACAGGAGCTTACTGCTTTGTTTATTACATCCGAACCAATAAAAGGGTTTCCCTCCAACTTTGAAGATCAGCTAGCCAGTATATTTGGAGCCTATGTGTTATGTAAGGGGGGGGGTCTTGGGTTTGGTTTTTGGAATTGACATCAAACTATTATAGGAATTCTGGTCACTCCAGTCCAGAAGGAAAACGACGGAGAAGAATTTAGAATACCCATCAGTGCTAACAAAAAATGAAACGGACTAGTCACTCCCACATCAAAGAAAAGTCTTCGGTTAGTGTAGTTAATGATAATCTAACTAAACCTTCGCTGTTACCACAAGAAAAAGAAACCATAAACTTTCTTCGTACCAAAAAGTGTACCAAATTTCTCTTGAAAAATTATTCAGAGAAGTATTTCTCTTTTTCTTTATGTAGCTTTCTTTTCTGAAGACCTGATGCAATAATTTTAATTGCATAAAGGCAAATTCCATTTTAATTGTAAAAACGCTTGATTCCATTGGTGAAGTTGAATTACCAAGAACTTGTAATTCCAATTAAATCACCGTTTCATTTATTTATCAACTGTGATCAAGGATTGCAAAAGCTTTCCGAAATATATTATCCGTTGAAATTACAAGTTTAGTTTCTATTTAATTCAAATTTCATTTTTATTGTTTGTTTACATTTTATTGGCCATCATTAGGCATACAAAGCACTAAATTTGTGTAGTTCTTTTTTATGTGTTAAGAATAAATTTTTCCTTGTTTTTAAATTCAGTTCATGTCGTCTGCATCTTTTGTTGTGTGCCGATATAAAAATTGTTGATGTCACTTCAAACATATGATGGAACTACTTTTTTCGTGGAATTTTTTTTTTTTTACCAAAAAAGACAAAAACAATTATACTATAAATTCTTGTAAAAAATATTTCATTGTTAAATAATTAACAATATAATTTCACAAATCATTGCGAACTAAACTAACACAGGCAACTGTTAAATATGAATGCCTGATCGTCATCTTAAGTCTTTTTGGATCGTTTTCTTTTTTTATTGTCGTGTTTCCACATTTTCCTTCAATCTATTGTCCTTTCTCCTTAGTTACAGTAGATAGTAATGGAAAGTGAAAAGAAAGGTTTAAACATCAATTGTAAGAAGACACAGTGTTTGGTTGTCAGAAAAAGGAACAGCCTAAGATGCGATGTACAGATTAGAGATAACGAAATAAAGCAAGTACGAACATTTAAATATCTAGGAAGTGTTTTAACAGAGGATGGAAAATCTAACAGCAAAATCCGAAAGTGCATCGGAATAGCAAAAGGTGCCTACCGAAATCTAGGCATAGTATGAAGAAACGGGAAAATCTCATAAGAACAAAAAAAATATGTGTTCTGAATTGTCATGTTATATCAGTCCTCCTATAGGGCAGTGCATACTGGAGAAGAGACTTGAGGAAGCAGAAATGTGGCTATATGGAAGGACGCTGAGAATAATATGGACAGAGCAACGGGGAAGTTTTAAAGAAAATGGGAACAATTGCTGTACTTGCTTAATTTTGGTATCACTAATTTATAATTTACATGTTGGACTGTTTCTTTTGTTGACAGCTATGCATTCTTTTTTGCAAGTGATGTCTAGTACTTCAATTTTGATTTCCTTCAATAACTTCGGTATGAGTTCTTGAAGTTTTCTTTCTGTGTCTGCTCTGAACACTGTATCATCTGCATATTCTATATTGTCAAGATTGTAGCCGCCAATGATGAAACCTGTTAGGCCTTCCAATACTCTCAGAATCACCTCACTGTATGGGTTGAATAAGTCTATAGAAGAACGTTGGGTTTACGTGTTGTTGAATTAGAAACACGTGCTGTTTATTCCAGCTAGAAGGCCCAACCACAAGAACAATGCGGACTCAAGTTGAGTCCAAAGATGTAAAGAAAACGAACAAGACCTATATATATATATATATATATATATATATATATATATATATATATATATATGTATGTATGTATGTACGTACGTATGTATACATATGTCAACAATTATATGTATTAAATAACAGATTTACAAGTGACAAAGACATCAGCATTGGTGTTTGTGTGTGAACGTAAAGAGTTTGTATTTTGGTGTATGTGACTTTAATGGTGTTTTCCCACAAGTGGGCAAAAACGCTGATCTCTGTGAGAGATCGCATTTTAAATGTACCCGCTGGAATGCAAAGTGTTATAAAATAAAATAAGATACATCTCGGCTGATTTGCAGGCAAATAAACTAACATACTCAAGAGCGAGAGCCGGATGTGAACGGGACAAGGCCCCTTCACCAAATGACCATTATCGTCGTGTGCGCATAGGCACGAGTTCCGGTCGAAAAATAAAATAATATTTTAAAGTGTTTCTATTTTTCGACCAATAAAAATGCTTCCCTCTTGATTATACTTGCGTCGTTTTCGAGCCTGTTAAGCCATAAAAAACGCCATAAAAGGGGTCACACGGGGAAGTACAAGAGCAGTCAACAGGAGGCCAGGGAAGAGATCTGCCACGGTCAGTCTGAGCAGTCAGCAGCAATCAGCAGGAGGAGCGCCACGCCAACCAGCGAGAACTACTATGAGAGATCAACCCAGATCGGAAGCCGGCTTATGAACTATACCACAAGGTAGCTGTCCCAAACCCACACGTTCCTATTGAAATAAATCACGTAAATCTATTTCTGCTGTTGTCGTATTCCTTTCTTGCAACCATACGCTTGTCTAAAAGTGAAAAAGAGAACGTAGCAAGAAGTCGCCCAGTACTTATAGTGTAGGGAGAGTGACCCCTAGTGAAAAATTAAGGAGAAGCTAACAAGTCTGTGGAATCTTCCACAACAAACCAGCCTTACCTATTTTTAGGAAATGCACTCTTCCTATCTGGTAAGTAAAATTCTACTTTCAGACAATATAACAAGTATTCATTGGTCAATCACCTCCAATCTGGCTTGCTGATTGGTCAGTTCCGACCAATCAAACCGACTGCACGCGACCAATCTGTTTTCCCGCTCATATGCTGGGAGCCACTCAGCGATTATATAAACCGAACACGTGAACTTTTCGAGTAGTAATTACCAAGTTTCAAGATGTAACCTTCACCGACTCCCGTCTTAGTCATTGCTGACCAGACGTTAAAGATAATTACCAACATTCACGAACTCTGAAATCACTCCTGAACTTTTAACAACTTTGCAAACTCACAATTCCAAACTTTCTTAATTTGAACTCCGGTACAACTAATACCTAATCAAAGGGACACGACTCTGTCCTACCTTTTCAGTTCACATTCATGTACATCAAACATTAATAAATTTAATTGTTATGTTTTGAAATCATTCAGTTCAGTTTTGTATTTTATTCTATGTGCTATTTTACGTCAAGTATAAATTGCATTGCTTTCACGCATTGTCCTTAATCTCATCTTTCCTAGCCCAAGTTAAATATTGGTAACTCAATCACTACAACGATTATAATACAACAGCTACATATTTGATTATCCCGTCGGAAATAAACAACAATGGTAACCCTATCACTACAAGTCTAAGAATATACATCCTTATCTTACACCCCTTTCTAATTTTGTATATTTAATGAATTCCTTTTTTTATTCGTATGCATATCCTCCCCAAGTGGGATCCGAAACATTCATCTAAGAATATTGGCCTAAGGATCACTCGTCTAAAGAATATACGCTTAAGAAATATTCGTCTAGAGAATTATGGTCTAATGTGGGTTTTATTAATATACAAACAAGGAATGCTAAATAAATGCTTATAAACCACATGTATCATCAGTAATTGTTGCTATAAGTGTCTTAAATATTATTCTGTAATATAGTGAATATCAATAAAATTGAGTATTCTGTATATGAACAAAGTGTTAAGTTATTACAAATATTATTATGGTTCTTAGACGGGTATTCCAGTGACCAATATCCTTAGACAAGTTTCCTTTAGACAAATATTCCTAAATCCTCCCCAAATATGTCAAGGTGAATTAAATTATTTTGATATTCCTTGAACCAAACTACAAGCCGAATAAGTATCTAACAAAATTTCAAAACGTTAAATCATTTAATTGGTTTAGTTATTATATCATTTCTCATCTGTTTTATTTTTATTTATTTATTTGACATTTAATTTGGATTCGTTTACTTGTTGGCAGTTGTCTTTTGTTTTTGTTTAATTTCCTTGTTATCTTAAAATTATTAATTGGGTAATTTATTTGTATGTGATTTGATTTTTTTAAGCAACTTCTTTTATTTATCTTTCCCTCTTACCGAACTTAAATTCATTTATTTGGGGAGGTTCAAACTATTTACTTATTTATTTCGATTTTTTGTATATAAATCACGACTTTTATTGTCTGTCTGAATTAAATTGAAGTATTTATTTTTTATTCTTTCTTTCATTTAACCCGTTCATTTCTCCATTTTAATCGTTGTCTATTGAGACATTCTCTTTTACATATTTTTGTTTATGTATTCGTTCTTTTATTCATTGTTTGGTGGATGTGGGTTGGGCAGATACCAAAGAGAAGTGTGTTGACATCTTTGTTGTTATATGAAGAGTTAAGGTTGTGGAAAGCCATTTTGAATTGTTTGCACTTTATTTAACGATTTCTATTTTACTTTATATATTTCTCTTTTTATTTGAAGCATTCATTATCTTTTATTTACTTTAATGTGCCTCTCTCCCAATCCCCAACACTTCATGCGCCTCGACCATGGCTCATTTCAACAATCACCGAACTAAATACACCACAGCTCCTAATCCATTTTCAACACTCCCCTCTCTCCTCGCATTTTCCAGTGGCGAAAGCAGATATCGGCTTGTTATTTAAGGGAATTGTTTAAAAAAAAATATAATAAAGTTTCGCTTTCAAATTTGTAAATAAATGAATTAAAAAGTAACTTAGATATTGGTGGCAGTGGGTGAGAGAGAGAGAGAACGGAATGTATGAGATAAAATGAGGTGGAAAAAAAGAGAGGACAAAAGATACTGGAAGGAAAGCAAGAAAGTTAAGAGAGAAGAAAATAATGTAAAGAGAAAAAGAAACGAATTATTAAGTAAAAGCTAAAAGGAAGGCAGGAAAAGATACAGTGAAAGGAAATGAAATATGGAAAGCAAAATACGAATAAAGGCGAATTGAATGAAAAAAAAATGAAACAAAACTAAAACAAGTAGATGCCTGGAGAAAGCCTAAGTTAAAATACAAATAAATATTGAGGTAATTAAAGCAAAAAGAGACGGAAGTGTGGAGCGAAAACGGAAATAAACACCAAGACAGTCAAACACCAAATGACAAAAAAATGGTTTTTGAATCAGAGGATTGCGCATTCTTCCGGTTAATAAAATTAATACTTTGAAAATAAATACTTATTTTTCAACCAACTGGTCGCGCTCCCGCCAACAATAAGAAAACGTCTTCGTGAACAGTTTGAAGGGTATCTGAGCAGTGTTTCTAGACAGACAAACCTGTAAGGAGAGACAGATGGCAACGGACAGCAACAATTCACAATGCTCGGCTTATAAGAAATTCCTTTACTCATTCACCTTTCCTCACCACCACTACGTGACACACTTTCCTCCTCACTTTCTCCGTTGCTTTTTTTTTTCTCACACATACACGCAAAGAAATCACATTTCTTTTCATCTTAAACAACTACTAACAAGGACTATAAGAACTTTAACACTCATACACACCAAGAAAAATTTAGTTGTAAAAAACACGAAAATAAAAATCTTATATTTTTATATTTAAACACCTTTTTCTTTGTTGTCTGTTGATTCAAATCTGCAATAGAAGTGTCAATACATTAATGAAAGTGCTTACAAAACGAAACAATGAGTTTGAATAAATTAAACAAGAAAAAAAAGTAAATTTAAAAAAACATTCCCGTCCTTAAAACACGAAATGTTTTTTTTGTTTAGTTTTCGTTGAAGTCCTTTCAGTGAATCGTTATGATTATTTTTTAATTCCACTCAAAAATATTTTTACGTTTTTTTTTATTTGCAATGACGATTCGAAGCTGTTGTCTGACAAGTCTTGAAAATAAGTACCACAGCTCAAAAAAGAAGAAAAACAGAAAAAATGAATTGAAAAGGATTAATAGGAAAGCAAAAATAAATAAAAAAGTGAAAATAGCAAACAACAAAACTAAAAGGAAGTACGACCCAAATAACAAAAATAGTACAAATCAAAATTTCCTTGTTTGTCACTTGAAAAGTTGTTTTGAAATTCCCACAATTAACCCAGTTGACATCTTATTCTGATAGTCATTTCAAGCAAAATAATAATAATAATCATGATGATAAAAATAAATTTAAAAAAATCTGATGCTTAAACATTATAAAGTAAAGATCAAACAGTAGAGAAAAAATGTTTTTCAAAACATCAGATTTTGAAAAATTATTTTTAAATAGTCATTAAAAAATGTTTATAATACTTTATTATTATAGGCAAAATGTCATCAACCAAAATATTGTATTGCATATTATAGAAAAATATTATTAGAACAATATAAATTACGTTTTTATATCCAGTTTAGTCTTTCTTATCAAATTGTGAAATAAAAGTTATTCCGAATGGTCACTCTTCTAAATCATTTTGTACTAATGTAGGTGCCCCCCCCACCCCCGGGCTCTATCCTTGGTCCTAATTTGATTTCATTAATGACCTTCCTGATGGCATCAACTCTCAACTTGATGTCTATGCTGATGACACAACCATTTACTCCTGTTTTACAAAATGGCCTATAATCTGTTTTTAACTGGGGCAAAGAATGACTTGCTAATTTTAACACCTCCAAAACAAAACTGTTCTCTATTAATCATCTGAGAGACCCCTCTCTGTCTTCCATCAGAATGGCTGATGCTAATTTCCAGGAGAGTGACTCATTGCACTTTCTCAGGCTAACATTTTTGATTGACATAAAGTGGAAAGACTATATTGAATCCATTGATACCTCTGCTGCTAAGAATGTTTTTTCACTGGGTTGTGCTAGACAATTTTTCTCTCCAGAATCTATCTTATATATTTATGAGTTGGCTTTGAATATTGCTGCCACATATGGTGCAGTGATCCTGCTATACATCTGGAGATCCTTGAGAAAATCCAAAGAAGAATCAGCAATATTACTGGTCTGACCAGTCATCTTCAGTCACTTTCCCGCCACTGTAATGTAGCTTACCTGTGTCTTTTCTATAAATACTTTCATCGTAAATATTCAGATGAGGTCTTTGTTATAGTACCTAGATTTATGAATTTAAGCATAGTACGAGATTGGTAACAAGGTTTCATCAATTTGCAGTTGAATTGGCTTGATGTAACCATAACTTCTATGCCACTTCTTGCTTGGGGAACACTCTTCCAGCTAACTTTGATCTTCAAAAATTTAAATGAAATGTCAGTAGTTATCTACCGTCTTCTTAATCAATCTTCTATTGTTCTCACTCTTTAATAATGTTTCCATTTTCTAAGTCTTTCACACTCACTAACATCATGTGTCTGAATGGCTTTACTACCTTGTCTGGGGTGAATTTGATTTAAAAGAATGTAAGCAGTTGTGATGTAACTTTTCATTTTCAAACTTGGAAATAAATAAATAAAAAAATTAACTTAGATGGTTGGTAAGATTTGTGTAAAAATGAGAGAGAGACTAGGAATGTTTCAATTGAAATAAAGTGAAGCAAGGATTTCAAGATTCTTGCTTACAAAAGTCCATAGAAGAGATATTAACAAGTTTTAATTTTGATAAGAATACATTTTTATTGCAATATATCAAATAATCCAAGTGATGTTGGTGTTTTGTCTTCCTCCTTTCTTGATCCAAAAATTTTGAATTGGTTTATTTGGTTTTATGGCATATCAACCTCAATGGGTTATTTAATGCCAACAAGATTTTTAGGGGAGTTTGTATGAATAGAATTTTTTTTTTTTTAAAAATGTGTTGTTGCTAATATTTTTTTTCAAAAAATGTTGCTAATATTTTTTTTCCCAAAAATTGCTGGTATTTTCATAATGTTTTGACCCCAATTTGAGGGTTAACTGTGTGCTACCACCCCCCCCAGTCAGGATGGACCTAGGAACAACAGTAATTAAAAAGTGGTTCCACACTCCTCAAAACCTCATGATCAGAGGCCTTGCTGTCAGATGTTGTTTATCGTCATACCCAGGACCAAAGAATTTTTCAATTCTTACAATTGTACAACAGTGGAATGATATTTTAAAAATGCATTTACTCATAATTTTCAGTCCATAATTATAACATTTCTTGTTTTGGAATTTTGAGATAAAAAATACTTTTTATTGAAGTGAAGAGTGATTATCTCCCTTTGGTTAAAACAAAGTCAGGAGGGTCACATGAATTAGCATGCATAGAGACAAGACATGCATGCCCATGCCAGTTGTTGGTGATAGACGTCATCTTAAGCCCAGTTACGCATATCTATTTATTTACACTATTTATATTCAGACTATTGTCTTCATCTTTGTTGTTGTTGTTGTTATCATGTTTCAGCCATTGTGCAATCAGGCCTTCCTCAGGTGTATATTGATCTAGGTAACATATAGGGAATTCTGAACTGAACCCTTTAATTAATCTACATGGGTAGACTGTTCCTTTTCCACTTCCCATATCTAGTGATATTGTCTAGTTCTTATTTTTAGTATTGCTCAGTTATTGCTTGCCCACAACATTTTACTTCTAATAGCAGTTCAAGTAAGATAGTTATAGGAGAGCGTTTTGTGCAAGTGCTCATACACCTGTTTTCTTACCCATTAAACACTGTTGCTTTTGAATGACAAGACATCCAGTTATCTGATAATGTGAGAGAGTGCAAAGAGAGAATTACTACAAAGTGAATATAAGCAGTCTTTGTCAAAATTTGAATTTGGTCTGCCTATTTTGTTTTATGTATTGTCAGCCATTATGCCACCACACATTCAAAAATAATGTGTGTGTGGCATCCATCAATCTTGAGAAACCTTGGCTCTGTGCTCAAAGATTTATGCCTCAGCTGCTAATGGCAGCGCAGCATCTATTATGGCTGCCACCTCTTGATGTCCATCACACACATGTTCCTTTTGCAGACATCCTTGAGGCAAAGATGAAGTTGTCAGTGTCCAGTTTCCCATACAGAATCATCTTCAGAATCACCCTATCTGGTATATAGTGTACATGTCAACCAGCAGAGCCAGTACTGATGGAGAAGAGCATATAAGTTGGGTAAATGGGTATGGGTGAAAAATACGTCACTGATGGACCAATTGATGCCCAGAGTATGTTTCACACAGTGAAAACAAAAGGCACCAAGGTGTTTCTCCTGTCTAGAGTAGAGACTCCAAGTCCTGTTGCTGTAGAGCAGCATGCTGATGACACATCCTATAATTTTAGGTGTTCAGAGTAAGCTTTGCCTGCTTAACTTTACAAGTCTTTCATTGGACAGCTGTATGGACAAACATGACAAAACCTGATATTAACCACAAAAGTATAAGTATATCCCAAGATTAAAATACTGTCAGAAGACAGGCAACACTGAAGTTTGCAAATGATGAGAAGAATTTGAAAACTGATATCTTACTTTCAAATCTTAAATCTTTAAAATGTGATTTATCATTGGATATATTGTCAGTACAATGTGATTTACCATTGGACATATTGTCAGTACAATGTTAATTATAATTGGATATAATCTCAGTAGTGTTGCAGAACTAGGCCACAGTTTGAGATGGTCAAGAACTTCCAAAGTAAATGACTTCAACATTTTCAGAAGGAATAAATTTCAACACAAAATATACTTGTGTGTGAACAAATAATTGAAAAAGTAGAAAAAACATTTATAGTCTTTGCAGTTAGAAAATATATGGTTGGCTGAAAATAAAAAGATGGCTTACTGAAGAGGGGAAGAAATCTACTTTGGCTGAGAAAAGTCCTCTTCTTTTTTTTCTCCTACCTTCTGAAGCAAAAGAGAAAGAGGGTTTTAGTGTTCTGTCACCTTATAAATTTTGAAATAGCACCACCTAGCAGGTATCATGCCATACAAGTTTGGGGTAACCCCCCATCCCCACAGTA